GGTTCAAAGGTAATTCGAATCTCGAAAATACATCAAAGTTCCATATACTTAGTTTGAATGTGGCTTGAAGCTCCTTCAAAAGCACTTCGAAGGTCCATATATTTAGTTAGAAGGTAATTCAAAACTCTGCAAAACACTTTAAAGTAGTATAATTTGAAGAGTGTGTATGTTGTTTGTCACTTCAAAGCAATTCGAAGTAGTACAATTGGAAGTGAAAATATATGGTTAAGGTCTGAAGAAACATGTTTCGAAGGTCTTGAAATTTCCATAGTCTCATGATGCATCGAAGGTCACGAAGTAAAGCATAGAAGGGCTAACTGTTACTAATGGCTCAAAGGAAATAGCATTGGCGTGCATTGTGACTAAATCAAATTGGTGATATTTTGTTAAGAATTCACTATTTCAAACACATGCAAAGTAATTCAATTTCAAAACACACATTAAAATTCGAAACGTGTGAACTTATTTTAATTATGTTTTGAAGCCTTAAAAACTCTCCAAGCAAGTAGCTATTATGCATTCGAAGCTTTTAACGCTTCTAAAATATGCTGTGAGCACCTTCGGAGCAATGTTTTGGTTCTTTTTTAACAAAATTGAATCATGTTATATGATAAAAGAACCTTCGAATGCGTGTCTTCCTTCAAATACATTAATTAATTGTCAAGTATGGTCTAAATTGATGTACAACTCTTCATGAATTCGAGGTTCCTCATTTTGAAAGAGTTTCGGGGGGTAATGTTGGCACCACAAATCTGTAATTATTATTATTATTATTATTGATAAATTGCATGACACGTGGCACTCTCCTACTCGTTTGGAGGTTATGAGAAGTTATGAATCATTAAATATATGTGAAAAGATGATGGAGAATGTGGATGATCATGGAGTATAATATGGAAGAACATGGAGCATGAATTGGAAGCTAAAGGAAGTTATGAAGACATGGAGAGATATGTGGCATTGTGGGAATGAAGATGGAAGAGTGAGTAGTTTTAGATGGTTATTGGAAGTTTTTTCTTACAAATATTTGCTTATAAATAGCCATTCATGGCTACATTGTAGGGACCTAGACTCAGATCTAGAAACCAATCATTTATTTCATATTTTCGTTCCAGTTTTATATTTCTAGTTCTTTACATTTTCAGTACTTTAATTTCTATACTGCATTTTATTTCTTAGGAGTAGTTTTCAAGTAGTCTTTGTTGTAAATCTTTTCAAAACTGGGTCATTTCATTATATATTCTTATTCACTCAATGAAATTCAGTTTCTAAATTGTTTTGTACGAGTTATTTCTTATAAATTTTTCCTCAAACAAACTACCAGTAAAAGCCCTCTTTATTGAGGCTGAAAGAATTTTAACACAATCGTCTGATAATTGGTTGGTGTGTGTGTCAATTTCCGACCACACTGCCAATCAAGCACTCAGCTAGAGAACACTGACAAAATAGATTAAGCCCGAACAACCTGCCACAAAAAGAAGAGATTCCAGCGGTAGTTCGTCCACTCGGGGGCACTCCGACGATCAAGTCAGTTATCTCTCAAAGATAGCAAAAGTGCTTAACTCACTATTCAGAATATAAAAAGTATACCTTAGACCTATGGGGGTGCCTCTCTTTTATAGCCAACACTTACCTAATCCCAATAGAAGCCTAATTTCAATGGACTTAGGATTACTGCTAATCTTGGACTGCTAGTAGAATTGGGATAAACTCTCTAAGAGTCTTATCTTTATCCAAACTGAAGTCCTCTTTTATTCTAGGACCCTTGTCCCTTATCCGCTTATCCCGGATTCTGGTTTCTTCGTAGATAACCTTGGCCTAGCCGAGATCATCTCGGTGTCATGACCAAGACACGTGACACCTCGGTTGACACTTCGGTGTCACCTCGGCCACGTGTTGTCATTCAAAAATTATGTCTCCACAACTACCCCCTAGGTTCTATTATCTCGGCATCCTGAGGTGATGGAACCTATATCATTCATTTCATTTAGCACATCGGCTAAGTTCGCTTTATCTTTCATTACCGAGGTCATCATTCGTCGGCTCAAATATGACCAAGACTTAGTTTGTTTTCATCAATGCCTTAGAACCAAAAAACCAAGTTTTGTTCAAGTTTCACAACCGAGATCGTCCTCTTAGTCGAGGTCCTACTCCATTAAATTAAGAACTCCAAGAGTTTCATCACCCGTATGAGCTGTCACGCACAACAACTCAACCATTTTTGCCACGCGACTTTTCCTTACTGAGCCGTGCCTGACACGCGCCATTAAGTCGCATCGCACTTGCGTGCGCCGTCTGACAAACACGTCGTCCTAGGCACACTAAATGCGTTTTTGCCGCCATTTCGTGTGTTTGATCAAATCACTTCTCTCTCTGTGCCTTTTCACTTTTGCATCTTCGTCTTCGTGCAAGCTTTCTCTCTCTAACTTTCTCTAATCCTCCTATTGCTTCAAGCTCTAAAGCTCTCTGCAATCACCGCCGCTCACCTCCTCCGGCGAGGTTTTTGCTGATCCTTTCCGTTTGCTGCCATCATCTGACTCTAGCGTACTCAACACCGGCTTTATTTTTCTTTGGTGAGTCACTATTTCCTCCTTTATTAGTCTGTGTTTTTCTTTGTACCTTGTACTTTTTTCTTACTTTTTGAAACCATGAAAGCTTTAATTTGGCCGACGTGCCGTTTTTGTAATCTAAACAATCATCCTTCAATGTCAGGCCGAGGTGCCTTCTTTCTTTATCTGAATGCATATACAACTTTTTTCCCTTTCAAGTGCTTTGAATGTTTTTCTTCTTTTTACTCTTTCATGATTCTATATTTAGAATAATTTGCATGTCTTCAATGTACACCTTAACTGTGCAACCTCCTCGGGATGGAATACCTCGGTTAAACCACTATCGGTTTATTTCGACAAGTACCTGCCCGGCTCGTCTGGTCGCACCAGTTTCAAATGAACCGTACCTACAATATCGTTTGGTCGCACCAGCCTCGAATGAACCGTACATACAATATCGTGCCTGCAAAAGAGAGAAACTTAACAGGCACAACATAGTTAGCAACATATGTTCAACACTATATCGAATGCGGATAGACATGGTGCCGATGGAAAAGTGCATCGCAATGCAAGAGAAACGTGCGTGACAACGCAAGTTAAGTATGGGGGCATGACAATGCCAGTGAAACGTGCATAACAATGTAGGCGATGTGCATAATAATGCAAGTGACGTGCATAACAATGCAGGATAAGTTCGACTTCAAAAGCATGTTTGAAACAAAACATTGAGCAAAGAAATGCAAGCCTCGACGAGGGCAACTCAAACACGACCTCCGATTTACCTCTCGGAGGGGTCGCAATGTACTCAAAAAGGATACACCTTGCTCTTGGCGAGTAATGATGAGCCATGCGTCGAATATTGGATTTGAAGTTCCCGCGGAGGGATTTCACGCCGAAAAGTGCACTTTACTTGTACTTTCTTGAGTGCCGGGGACTCCAATCACCACCAAAATTTGCAGGGAGCTCAAAGAGACATTGGAGATCACACAGGAGGGCCACCGATCACCTAGGGAGGCCACCGACCAGGTTTTGCGCAAGGAGGTGGTCGGCCTACCAGGAAAGGTGGTTGGCTGACCACTTGTCCAAATTCGGGACAGTTTTGTCTTTTTACACTTGTTTCTTTAAATCCACATGTCCCAATCACCATTCCTCACACCCTCAAGGCCTAAATCAGTTCTCCTTCCTTCCTAGACCATTTTCTCTCTCAGATCTGCTGTTTGTACGCGCTTTCCAACGCCCCACGCAAAGTTGTTTCGCGAAATCTTTTAGTTTTCTTCACTTTGGACAGATTAAAATTTGATTTCGGAGCCTCTTTCTTCATTTTCACCACGTGGGGTAAGTTTGTCTCAAAATTTGGAACATTTTCTCGGGAGTTGACTTTTGTTGACTTTTTCATTTCCCGAGAGTTGACTTTTGTTGACTTTTTCCAATTTTGGCTCATTTTGCTCATTTTTGCTCTTTCTTGCAGATTTCTTCAAATGACGGGTCATTTTCCTCATGGTGGAGGTCCTCCAGGTGCCGAGGGTGAGCCGGACATCATGTCCTTGCCTCCGAGAGTTCGGCCGTTTGATCCCGAGAGGTATCATCCTCGGGAGCACGCCCTTCCTCAGGCCACTTTCTACCATTTCACTGACTTTGATGACCGAGTACCTGCGGATCTGTTGCTGCGGGAGCTAGAGACTCATCTCTCTCATCAGGCACGAGAGGTACGTACTTCACTTTTACATTCTCTGCAATGTATTCTGCATTTCATGCACATTTCATACTTTCGCTATGCATGCTTATCCGCTCGTTCTGGACACATTTGCACACCATATTTCTGCTTATTTTAGCACATATCTCACAACACAGAATTCTGTTGAGTGGGCACACAGCTTGTTTTGAACACTTAGTCTATAACATAGCATTCTGTTTGCATTTTGAACACATAGCTCAATCACTCGAATTTCTGAACACACAGCCCAAACTTTTGATGGTGAACACACAGCCCACATTTTTTTGAAATCTGAACACGTAGCCCAAACTCTTGATTATGAACACGCAGCCCATAGTTTTTGAAAGTTGAACACGCAGCCCAAACTCTTGAGGTGAACACACAGCCCACAGTTTTTGAAAGTTGAACACGTAGCCCAAACTTTTGAGGTGAACATACAGCCCACAGTTTTTGTAAGTTGAACACGTAGCCCAAACTCTTGAGGTGAACACACAGTCCACTGTTTTTGAAAGTTGAACACGCAGCCCAAACTCTTGAGGTGAACACACAGCTCACAGTTTTTGAAATCTGAACACGCAACCCAAACTCTTGAGGTGAACACACAGCCCACTGTTTCATTTGCACGCAGCGCATATTGAACACACAGTTCTTATATTTCACTTTTGAACTCTCAGCTCATTCATTTCATTTGCACGTAGCTTATACTTTTTATTTTGAAACTGAATACATCTGTTCATTTTGAATGCAGGTACCCTCTCGTTCTACGCGAGGTTATGGCTCGATTATCGCTAGGGAGTGGTATGCAGAGCTCCCAGAGACCGTTCGTCACATGGTGGACGGGACAGGATTTGGGCCCTTTTGTGCGGGGCTATCTCGCTACCCTGCAAGCAGGACCTTGATGGGGACACTCGTGGAGAGATTGTAAGACACCACCAACTCTTTCTACTTCTCAGCTACCGGGGATATGACGATGACCCCGTTCAACTTTGCGATGCTGACTGGCCTTGATGTGGCTGGCCGACCGGTCCCTTACGACGAGGATATGGGCGAGTGGGAGGCTGCTTGGATCCATCTGTTGGGAGTTCGCCCACCGATTGATCGATCTTCGGACAGAGTTAGGTACACTTGGTTCCCCGTGCAGTATAGGGGGAGTATGCCCGAAACTTTTGAGGAGATAGAGCAGTACACTCGAGGTTTTTTGATGTTCCTCCTTGGGACCACTTTGTTCTCCGACAGGAGGAACATCGTTGGACTATATCTGCTCAGTGCTTTGGTGGACCTATCACAGGTCAGCCAGTATGACTGGGGTGGCGCCGGCCTCGCTACCCTCTACTGCTATATGAGTGCGACGTCCTGCGGACGGAGGAACATAGTTGGCAGCTACTGGAGAGCCCGAGAGGTACCTTCTGCCCTCTTGATTTACATTTCTGCTTTTCATTATCTGTATACTGCACACGGCACACTTTATATTCTGTATTCTACATTCTGTACTCAGCACTCTGTATTTTCTGTATATTCTGTATTCTGATGGCGACTGCCCTGTTTTCCACAGTTATGGGTTTACGTGTACTTTCCGACGCTAGCCCTAGAGTTCGAGGTGGAGGTGCCTCTTACGATCCCTTACTCTCATGTGTTTGAGGGTCGATGCCGGGCGAGGGCTCGAGAGACTCTGCCCTTCTTGCGACAGTTTTTTGACACGGTGCGGGCGATCGAGGTACTTCAGAACTCTCGATTCTTCATATTTTCAGCTTTGATTCATCTCGCATATTTATGACATCTGATTGGCTCATGCACTTGTTATCCTCAGATCGCTTGGCGGCCTTAGGTACCCTTGAGAGGAGATATCCGTTTCCAGTTCCCGAGGGCATGGGCTTCTTCTCAGTATAGGACTTTGTTTGAGAGGCTAGTTGGCAGGGCCTGGTTTCTGGGAGATCGCTTTATGCGCCAGACGATGGGCGTCCCTGAGCAGAGTGTCCCTCTAGCACCTCCAGATGACATGTGGTCCGCTGAGAGACTCACTCCCGAGGAGGTCGATGTCGCTATGTTGGGTACCAATGCAGCTCTGCACATGGAGGAGGGATAGTGTGCGACTTACCGCCACACGTACTTGATGCCCCCACTGATGGGTGTCCGTACTCCTACTAGGAGGGTTGCTGGTGCATCATCGTCAACTCGAGCCCGGGCTGCAGATGTTCTTTCGTCTAGTAGGGCCGGCACAACGAGGAGTGGGCTAGACAGATTCCCTCGATTCCCCTGACTTATCAGCATGTCGGGTGCCCAGATCTTCCGACCGAGTTGACTGGATAGCGATAAGGGTCATCTTACCCGATTCCAATAGAGCCTCCTATGCCCGATCACCGATATGTCAGTGATCCTGACTCACCACCGGTATGTTCCACTGCTTTTCATTTATCACTTAGATACTTAGGCATTCATTTATTCATTGATGACTTGAGCTTGTATCTGTAGCCTTCCAGGGAGTATTCTGATGATCTGCTCGGATTGGTGGCCTCACTTGAGGGCATGGTCTTGTGGAGGGAGACACAGTTGTTCATCGTCGGTGTTATGGTATTTTTTAATTTTCTCACATTTATCATACTTCTGATGACATGCTGTATTTAACCATTTCACTGCATTGCTTGACTGTATGCGTAGAGCACATATGACACACACCATGTTCATACATTGTATCTGCACACACTCACTCTATGTAGCATTCTTGTCTCTGCATCTGATATACATGTTGGCTAATGTACTCAAATTGTCCTTTTCAGATGCCACCACTACAGGCTGGGCCATCCAGGCCTTCTCGAGGAGCTGGGAGAGGGGACTCGTCTCGTAGACGAGGTAGGCACAGAGCACCTGTCATAGATGATGAGGAGTCTAGCGAGGAGGAGGAGTCGGCGCATCCTCAGTCGGAGACATCTACAGGCAGGGAGGAGGACTCTGGATCCGATTCTGAGAGTGGAGATGATGCCGAAGAGGGTTTCGAGGACGACAGCTCCGATTCGGATGATGGTGCTGATGCAGAGGTCGTTTAGCCGAAGAGGACAAAGAGGGCCTCTTATTCTTGCGCTTTATAGCACTGATGCAGATGTTCCTGCTTTATTTTCTTTTTTTTTTACTAGCAGTTTTAGCACATTAGGCAGTTTTATTTTCTTTAAAACTTGTACCCTTGCTGTAAAATGTTGTAACAAAAGAAGCATGATGGAATGAAATAGCTTTTTGAAAAAGTGTTGTATTTTATGTTCTTAGCATCATATCGCATCATTTTGCACAAAAATGAGATTGAATGAAAATTGAGCATCTAAAATTGCCAAGTCAATTAGTGAACTGACGCAACAAACTAAATAACTTAACTTACTAAGAAACAACAAATCCTTAGCAAGTTTACAACTCGATAAGCAAATCCTGACAATGTTGATTAAACAAAGAGTAACAATTCGATATACGGAACTCAACGACTCGATAATCAACGACTTGATAAACAAAAATTTAACAACTGAATAAGTAAAACCAAACAACAACTCGATAAACAAAGAACAACAACTTGATAAGCAAATGCATCTCGGACAATTGGAGTGACGGAACGCATCCGAAACAGAGGTAAACTCGGACCTTCAACACTCCCAACGCATGGAAAAGCTAGGACCTCTCTTCTAGAAACTAGGAACAGACCAAAGACCAACTTTTCTCCATGGCCAACCACCAGAAGGGGCTGGCCGACCAGCCATTTTCCTTGGAGACCAAAGGGGTGGTCGGCCTACCAGAAAAAGTGGTCGGCCGACCACCTGGTTTGGCGACCACCAGATTTTTGACACGTGTCCCCAAACAGTGCCTTATCCTCTATAAAAGTTCCAGCTTCGTGGTTCTTTCATTTCATCTCAGTTTTGCATCAAAATGGAGGCATTCCTCATCGAAAATCTCGCAGCTTGGATTGCAACTTTAGACAGCTCGGAAAAGTTGAACTTCCGGGGCTTCGGCTTGAACGCACTATTCACGTTGAGCCGCACTCCGCTGTATCTTCCCTTTCTCCATGCCGCGGTGAGGTTTTGGAATCCGGTAACACATGTCTTTAGCTTCGATGGGTAAGAGATGTGTCCTACCTTCGAAGATTTCCAAGCTTATAGTATCCGCTTCGATCTGTTGTCTTTGGTGCGTCACCTTCCTGGCCAGCGTCTTTCACTCCGTGACTCTGGTCACGAGTTTCTGTGTTGCGAGCCACGTTGTATTTCTCTAACAAGTCAATCACTTCCTTCTTGAAGGACATCCTCAGCTTGATTCAACGTTTTTCTGATCCCGGTGACCGCGGTGACCATCATTGGCAGGGCTTTCGGCGACATGCCCTTTGCTTGTGCATGTTATCTCACTTTTTGCTTGCCCCGGGCTTCAGCGGGTCTAGCGTTTGTCTGATTGAAGTTGCCCAAGGCTTGAAGGAGGGTAAGAGCTGCATTGCCATGACATTGGCCGAGACACTGATGGGCTTGGATGCTTTCCATCGCCGGGAAACAACTAGATTTGCGGGAAGTCCACTACTGCTGCAGGTAATGTTTCCCTCCCTATCTCACATATATATTGCTCACATCACTCGGCCCTCAGGCTCGATTTTTCTCACAAAACCCTGTTCTCACTTTTCTCTCAACGTACACCTCTCTATTCTTTAATCTCTCATTTTTCATCCCTCCCCAGGTGTGGTTGATGGACAAGTTACAGGTTGTGGACTCTTGCCCAGCATACTTGGCTCGTGGCTACTTCTTCTGACAACGCCTAGTCGACGCCCTTGATGAGGGATGGTGGTTCGATTGGATGTGCCATTTGTCTGCAGACCGCATTGCTTGGCGTTGTCCTTGGCTCAATCTACCGACAATAAGCTACAACATGTCCCGGCAGACTGGGATTCAGTTGATTGGTCTGACGTATTGCGTGTTTTACTTTCCTTTCTGGTTCCAGCGCTAGTTCGGCCATGATCAGACTTGCCCGCCAGAGGGGATAGAGTACACTGCCGCATTTCCGGTCCGAGGCGTACAGCTTGCTCGGTATGCTAGAACGTGGAGGACGAGAAAACTCCTGGCCCCCGTTCTCATTTTCAGTTACACTTTGTCTGATGAGTGCATAGATTGGCTCAATGAAGAGTGGCAGCTTCTGTTCTCAAAAAGAGGAGAGCCCTTTAACAATGTTGAAGAGGGGCTCAAAACAAGATATTTCACAGTTTATGGCAAGGTCCAAAACAGCTCACAAATAGGTCTAAAATACTATGCAAAAATTGGCCTAAAAGAGAGATAAAGAAGCAAGTGATAGCAGGAGGCCTCAAACAGAGGAGAGCCCTTCAACAATGTTGAAGAGGGGCTCAAAACAAGTTATTTTACAGTTTATGGAAAAGTCCAAAACAACTCACAAATAGGCCTAAAATACTATGCAAAAATTGGCCTAAAAGAGAGTTTAAACACAAAGGGTGAGGAGGGGACCTCAAACAGAGAAAGACCCTTAATCAAATATGGAGATGAACACAAAATATGACTATTTACAGTTTGGGTCGGAGCCCAAAAATGCTAGGCTTAGATACCAAGAAAAATAAGGCACAAAAGAGGGAAAATGGGACTCACCCTTGTAGACCAATGGACCAGCAGCTCTTGGACCAAGTTTGGGAGCTCTTGACCTCTGGAAAGCAGCCTCAAGTTGTTGGAATGGAGGATGGAGGCCTTATGCTATGGGTTGATGTAGAAATGGTGTAGGAGCAAGGTGGTTTTGAAGGTTGGAATAGAGAGAGAGAGAGATTTAATGCAAAGGCCTTAAAACAATTTTTGTAACCCTCTAAAATGCAGCTGGAAGTGCTGGTTTTATAGGGAAAGGACTGGAGAAAAGGGGGGGAAAAACTAATTCAAATTTCCCCTCAAAAGGGAAGACCTTCAGACAGTGGGTCAAATGCAGAATAGCTGGCACAGCTGGAACACACTCAGGAGGGTAAGAATGGCCGGCCAGCTCAAAAGAGCCAAAGTGGTCGGCCACCCCCTAGGATGAAGCCCCGGAAGTTAGCTTTCCAATGCCGTAAACCTTACATCAAAATTCCTTCTGTGCAAAAAGTTATGCCTGTTTTCGTGAAGCCGCGCAGATTCGGTCCAAATGGACTTCAACCAACCATATCTCCCCCACCCGAACTTGTCCTTAGGAGATTCTTGAGTGAAAAATGAAGCCCTGGAAGTAAGCTTTCCAATGGTGGTAACCTCATATCTTAAATCCAAGTATGCAAAGATTTATGCTCGTTTCGGTGAAGCCGGGCAGTGTTTTCCTCCTTCCCGGATTCATGCTGAATCACTTTTGACCAAAAAAAGCTGGTTTTTCAGAAAAATTGCTGGCCTCCCACTCTCCTACAACCTTTCTAACAACGAAAATAAGGTCTCCACCAAAAATGAACCCAAACCGATGCAAAACGAAGGTTCGGGGGCCAAAACACGCGGTCTGGGGGCCCGAAAACTGACTGTTAAGCACTGGAGGTGGCGTTTGACCACGAAGTTGGTCTCTCGAACCCCATTGTCCCTTAAAAGGGAGGAAATAAGATGTATGCCAAAAACCGGAGCAAACGGAGGTGGTTAAGCGGTCCCAAACCGAGGCACACGGCCGACGGCTCCGAAAAACTGGAAACCGGGCTCCAAACGAAAAAAATGGCCTACGACCGCGAAACGTAGCCTACGGCCACTGAGAGATGGTCCACGAGACCTCTCCCTCCCTTCGGGGAAAGAAAATGGAGAAAACGGGACCTGGTTCGCAAACCGAGGTAAAACATGAAAGAGTCCCAAAGTTCAGAGGCAAGGCTCGCAGCCAAGACTCTGAAACCTCAGAACGAGCACCATATGCGACATCACCAAGTGCTCAATCGATGACGTCTGAGTCTTAAGGTCGGTCAAAAATGGAGTGTCTACACTGTGCCGAAAACCCTTTTGATACCTAAGTTAGCAAATAGACTAAAGAGGCAAAAGATTTGTGAATTTGGGAGTATGAATTACAATCCTTGGAAATAGGTTTTGTCATGATCTTTTATAGATTTCGGCACCATCCTAGTAGGACTCTACCTCTCCTAGCATAGTCCTCATAGGAATCACATTCCTACAGGATAATGTTTATCCTTAAAACACCCTCCTCACTGCAAGCCAAGTGAGATGGCAACAACACTATGTTAGGCTGTAAATATCCGACTGAACTACATTACACTGGTCTGTCATTGACCAAACTGTGTAGTCCTTGACCATTAGAGGTAGCCCTATGTGTGTACAACACAACCATGTAATTGAAGTTCCAAGAAAGTGGGCCCAAGGGGTTCAACAATGGCTCGGAAAGAGGGGGGCAAAAGGGTCAAGTTGACTTATTGGCCGGCCATGAACTTTTAGGGGCCTCTCAGGTGTGTACATCACAGATACGTGGTTGAAAGTTGGCAACGCTAGCTCTAAGGTATTCAACATTAGCCCGGAAGTGCGAAAAACGGGCGCCGAGAGACTCGGGAGGAGAGATAACTGGTTGCTGCAACAATTGCTGGCCTCCCACCCCTCAGTGACCTTAAACAGAGGTACCTGCCAAAAATGAGCGAAAACCGTGGCAAAACGAATGTTCCGGAGCCAAAACACGCAGTTCGGGGTCCCGGAAATGGGCTGTTAAGCACCGAAAATTGTATTCGACCTCGAAGTGGGTTTCTCAGCCCCCAGTGTCCCTCAAAATGGATGAAATAAGATGTATGCCAAAAATCAGAACAATAGGAGATGGTTAAGCGGTCCCGAACCGAGGCACACGGCCTGACGGCTCCGAAAACCGGGAACCGGACTCCGAAATGGGCAAAATGGCCTACGGCCACCAAATGTAGCCTACGGACATTGAGAGATGGTCTACGGGACCTCTCCCTCCCTTCAGGGAAAGAAACAGAGAAAACCGAGTCTGGTTCGCAAACCGAGACAAGGCACAGAAAAGGGGTCGGAAGTCCGGAGGCAGGGCTTATGGCCGCGACTCTGAAACTTCTGAACGAGCACATTATGCAATATCACCAAGCGCTCAACTGGTGACGTCTGAGTCTCAAGGTCGGTCAAAAATGGGGTGTCTACAATGCACTATGTGAACAGAGTATGATTGATATACTGAAAATGAACACAAAGTGTGAT